TCCTGGGCCTGGAAGAAGTGGTCCTTGAACACTGAACAACTCTCTTGAGCCCCTTTACCTTCCAGTTCCCTGTCCCATGGGGTATCCCCTAGCAATTGCTTGAAAAGGCCAAAGTTGGTCCTTCTGAAGTCCAAGGTTGTGATCCTGCTTGGTATTCTGTTTCTACCGCACAAGATCCTGAACTCTAACACCTTTTCTCATAATTTTTACCACTTCCAAGGAATTCTCAAAAGAGATTCAAAATTGAAACCAGTCATTCAACTGGCTTCAAGAAAGATCTATAATCTCTATTAATCTGAGGACATTAAGTAGAAATTCTGTCAGGTTAACAACTCATGCTGCAAAGATGCTTTGGAGCCTAATGACACAAAAGTGATGATTTCCCAGTTTCTGTGGTGAATACAGGGTGCTCAGGGATTGCCTCAAAAATATTGGAAGGTCGTAACATGACATTAAATGGAACACCCTCCAGAATAAAAATTGTTTGTTCAGATCCAGTCCAAACAATGAGGCCCTCACTGTAAATACACCAGTTTATGAATGGATAATTATGTTACATGCATAACGCAAAGGAGTAAATTTTTAAGCGAAGCATGTTCTTAAGCTATGCAAGTCCCTCTGAAAGACACAGAACTGGGAAATGGCAGTGAGCTTTCACACTACTGCTTTATTGGAGCCTCTGCATTCCTCAGTCTGAGCCTATGAAAACTGTTGCAAGGTGTTAAAAGTGACAGTTTCTCTTCAATCAAACCCAGCTGAAGATGTGACAGAATGAAAACAGAGAAACTGCAGGGAATTCAAGGAAATGTGAAGGTCGCTGACTTCCAGATCTAATCCTTACACTAGACGCAATTCACCTGGAGAGACTGTCAGTACTCATCATAGAGAGTTTGTCTTTAGGTACAAACAGGATGCCTTATCCTAGACAGAGGGAGACCAGAATGCCACTTGCTACAACTCTCCCATGTTCCAAAGGCAGCAGCTGTCACCATGCAGCACAATGATGTCTCCAGGCTGCATCAGATTTTTCTGATCTATGCCTGAGACTGCAAGTAGGCACAGCAGAGTAAATAAAGAAAGATTACTTTTCCAGCCTCACCAATGTAAAATGCATGTGGAGACGTAGCAGAGCAGCCTCTTTACCCAAGGCAACTCCCTTACGTGATGGGGACTCCTGGCTAAATACTTCAAGGTGATCCAGCATGTTATTCACAGAATGGCCTAGGCTGGAAGGGACCTTAGAAATCATCTAGTCCAACCTCTCTTCATGGGCAGGGACGGCCCCTCTCGACTAGACCAGGCAACACATGGGGACTGAGCAGGAATCGAACCCGCGACCTCAGTGTTGGTCATTGTTGCCAGCACCGCGCTCAAACCACTGAGCTAACCAGCCCCCTTTGCAACTAGAAATGTCTGACTTAGCTGTGACGCATCTTTTCTGGTACAAACCTTCTGACAGAAGGTTAAAACATAGTGATTTTCTAAGAGGAAATAACAATATCATCAATGGCTGTCACAGGAAAACAATTCATTACCACAATTAATTTGAAGACTGCTGATGAAGCTGAATCAGGGATGAGGCCTGGAAAAGCTGCAGACATGTTCTGAGTTATTAAGCAAAAAATCAAAGTGGCAATAACATCATAGACAGATAGTTAAGTAAAATGGTTTCTACAGACAAATATCTTAGGGGAATGTGAAATGAGAGAAGATTGAACTGTTATGTACATGCTGTGCACTGGACAGAATGCAAGAAAAAAATTATTAAATGTAGTGCTTCTGTTTTGGCACAACCTCTTTCTGGGTCTGCATATAAACATGTTCTCAAATCACTACAAGTATAATTTGTTTTTAGAGTTTCTTCCTGAAATATAGCCCATATCATAGACGTCCCTAAGTGCTTGTAATTCTTTGTAAATAATGAGTTTATTGTCACAACTGCAGCTCCCCTGGTAATGATGTTTCCAAAACACAAAAAATAACCAAGACTGAACTAATCATTAGATATCTTTACCCCATTATGCAAATATCTTGATTTTCTTTTCATCTGATGACTGATCACATTATAAAAATGCAAGTCTGTCTCCAGCATTTCTGTAATTGATTATATCCAATTTGCCTGTAAATACCCTGTGTCAATTTAGGTCAGTGCTTCCTGTATGATCTGGAACTTGACACTTGAGCATACTACTCTTAAACTTCCCCGTTGGCTGTAGGTCCAATTAAAGCCGAGATCATTATAAGAAGTTGCTCAACCTAGTCAATCTTTTGCTAAGGATTTTCTAAGTATTATTTTTTTCACACTGCTTGCTTATTCATCAGGTACAAAGGTTGAACAAAAACAAAGTGCTGTTGCCTCACATTATTTCTTCTCAGTGCATTGAAAAATCACTTGGTGTACATTGCCTCTGAGAAGCAACAGACAGGTAAGACACTTGGGACATCTTTTTCAAAATGTAGGCAAAGATTTCTTAGTAAACCTTGTTCCTAGATTGGAAACATATAGATCTTGAGATGCATTAAAAGTACAGGAACTACTATGAACCTTGGACATGCCCAGTTGTTAAGTAAACTGTAATTCAGTTGAAAGTCAGGGAACAGCCTGTTTCTTCTTCGTAAGCTCCACTATATTATATAAACTCAATTACCTCCTCAAAACTGCATTCTTCTTTACAAATGTAAGAAAAACAATGGGAATTACATTACCATTAAATGATGAAATCTTCAAAAGGTCTCCACAGAAAATCTTTTCAAGAAAATGCTTCTAATTACAAGGAAATGTCAGGTATTACTTGTGTATTGACAGTCTCGGTTTCTTTTCAAAGCAATTACTTTAAACAGCAATTGTTAAAATCTGGTTCTAGTAAAAAGCTAAACCGCAATTAAAATTACAGATGCCTTCCTGCTCTTCCACTGATTATATGAGTTCCTACACACACAATGCAGGAAATCTAAGTGCTAAGGAACTCCCCACTTTTCCAGTAGGAACTAAAGCAAAAACCAGGAACTAAGTTTTTGACTTAGACATCTGTAGACAGAACTTTTAGGCAGTAAAAAGATTTTTCAAGTTAATGGCATACTCTTCATTCAGACTTTTTAACTTTTTGCTTGAAGTTTTGAAAAAACTTTAACTTTCATTTTCTTTTTTTAATCTGGAAGATAAAAATCTGAAAAGGAGATATTGAGATTCACTTAATCCACAATCTTTTCTTCTTCAGATGCTTAAGAAAAAGTCTAAAAATGAAGGAATATTGTACCCTTAACAGAACATTTTAATTGATGTCCAGCATAAACAGAGATTGACTTAATGCCTGACAGAGATGTTTAGCATTCCTG